TGTCCTTAAATTTTAATATTTTATTGTTAATTGTCTACTTGGACTTTACTTATTAATAGGACTTTATACTGGTGTCTAAAGATCGGCACAGTACTGAGAGTTAGTTCAGGAAAGAACAAAATTTCTTTATTATATCACCTGTAGTAATAATTTCTGTTTTTAATAAGATTTTAATTTATATAGTGAAATGATTAATTGTAAAAAATGTGAAAGATCCATTTATATCCTGGATTGGAATATGTATTTACAGTAAGTTTTAAAATTGTAATTTATTGTTAAAGGAAAAATTTTTAAATTATACAGTAACTTATCTGTTTGTTGTTGTTACTTTTAGTGTTAAGTGGTAATACTGCTGATGAGAGACATGCTAGCCCAAAACACATATAACAGAAATTATTACTACAGGTGATATAATAAAGAAATTTTGTTCTTTCCTGAACTAACTCTCAGTACTGGGCCAATCTTTAGACACCAGTATAAAGTCCTATTAATAAGTAAAGTCCAAGTAGACAATTAACAATAAAATATTAAAATTTAAGGACAGTAAGGCTTTTACAATTACTTCTTAATACGTGTCCATAATGGACTAAAGAGAAACATCATAATGGAATGACAGAAGAAAGGTGCAGGAAGGATAGACACAGGGTCGGACTAAGGCCTAGGCAACCTAGGCACGTGCCTAGGGCCCGTAATTTTTGGGGCCCCAAAAATTAGGTTTTTAATTTTTTAATTTTAAAAATAGGCCCGAAATTACAATGTTGCCTAGAGCCCGCTTTAGCCTTAGTCCGCCTCTGGGTAGACAAAGAACCAAATGGATTTAAACATGTGGCAAACACCTTCATCTGGCGAAACATCCATCAATTAAAAGATGATAATTGTTATCATCTTTATAATGATTGACTACAGAATGCCCAATTGTATAAGCCACAAGAGACTAATGGATAAGGTTCTCTCGTATATAATCTGCGGCTTATCGACAAGGTTTTACGGTATTAATGTTAATAAATGTTATATAATTAGAATAATTCAAAAACATTTAAAAAACTGCTAAAATTGATAGCTTTACTTTATCGAGTTACGAATTACGCATACCAGGAACTATTCAAGAAGAAAATACATAATCAAATTTCAAATTTGTTCGCGTGTTAAATACAATTGTTATCCACTTGCATGTAAGGGGAATCGATGCTATTAATGCTGGTTGAAGGTCAAGAGGTAGAATGATCATAGATACATTTAATCGGCCATTGTTTCAGTAGGTTTACGAACGACGAAAGTATGAAAGCCATCATTTACATGGTCGTTTCTGCTCTTTTGGGTAAGAAAATTTCGCTTTCATTTCCAAATACAGTAGAAACCCGATTGTCCGAGATCACATGGACCAGTGGCATTTCTATTCGCTTCGGAAAATCGGGGTTCTACTGAATTGATTATTTTCTTTATATTACACTAGCAACGTGTGTTAGAGCTTTTTAGGGAATGGGAATTAAATTTCGAGTATTTACAGTAATGAAAACTGCAAAAAACAAAAAATTGCACGTCTTAAGAGGGACTTTAAAAGTGATTGAGGACCCACGGGTGTCAAAGAATACACAGGCCAAATTTGGTGCTGATACGTTGAACGTATCAGCACCTTTACCTAGCATACATACATACATTTTTATTTTATATACTTGTATACAGAAAGGGTGCTTCAATAGATATTAACACTAATACTGAAGTAAGTCGTTACGCAGGATTTGTAGTAGCGAGTAATATTCCATCGCGTGCAAGAACCACAAAAAAGTTTGGCCTTGGTACCTGTATTGCAATAGATGCGAACTTTCTCCATACGGGTGTTAACATTCTTGATGCACTCTACGTATAATGTCACATATGGTAAATGATTTATTGTATTTTGATTTGCAGTAAACTTTAACGAGGCAATCGTGGTAAAGAATATAAACGAATACGTAGATGAAGTCCTCCACGTTAAGTTTCAACAAGTGATGAATAATGGTTTATTCGATTTTTTCTTCTTGCACTACACTTTAATGGACGATACCAGAATCACATTCCACAATGGGAAAATAAAGAATATGGCGGATCTGAAGAGAGACAGATATTGCGCTAACTTGACACAATCGAAAGAACTTCTCATCGTTTGCACTTTAACTTTCCATTCTTTAACTGTGGAGTATTTTGCAGAATTGGAAATCTCAGAAAATACGATTTTGACATTTTTGACAGTAAGCCACGTCGGTCCTACTGACTTGACTATCAAAATTACTTCCACTCCTCAACTTGATTACGCCAATCTTACCAGATTTCTCGTAGTTAACATGGGATACATATCTATCAAGTTCTCGTATCTGGAATACGGAGGTGAGATCTTCAGAAAACTAATAGAAGCCAATTTAAAGGACCATATAATGAACGAAATACACGAAATGTTGAACACTTATCTATGGAATTCCTTGAAATCTGCTTTGTCTCATTATTTCTCTCCCAAATAATGCGATACTGCTTCTAAATTTTAAACTGTATCGAAAAATAAAAATAGAATCTCGTGTAAAATTTTACAAAATTTGCCATGAAACCTTTTCAAGTATTAATTTTTTGGTTCTTTCCTTTCTATGGGCACCAAAATCGGGTACACGGGTACCGGTATAACTGAACAGACACGCCTGTCAGGTATACTGGTTCATGTATAAGGAAAGCCTTTTTACCATGTCCATCGTGGAAATCAGTCAGACTCTATCATGGTTTTATTTACGTTAGTAACATCTAAATGCCCATAATTACACAGAAACAAACAAACCCACCAGTGGCCAAGCGGTCTCCGTACCCGAACACTGTGAGTTTGGTCGTGTGTTCGCGCCTCGCTCGGATGGACTAGCCACGTGGAGTTTTTCGGGTAATCTCCACGTCTGTAATGCCTAAATATAGGCCAGTTTAATTTTAAAAATCTCCCGGAAGGCATCGCCCAAGTGTGTGGTGTCATAACTTAACAAACGATACGAACCCACTACACCATTAGGTAGAATTCTTATCTGGAATAATGGAAGTCAGATAAAATTTTGTCTCTAATTTGTATAGAATTTATTATATCGTATATGGTTATTATACAGGGTGGCCCAAAATTTAGTTAACAATTGTAAAGATTGAATTACCGTCTTATCTAAATACAAAATATATCAGCTACACACGGTTAATTAACTTTTGAGGCAACCTGTATACAACGTAATCAAAGGATTTTTCGGAAAAGTTTCGGTTCGGTCTTTTGGGTGATAGTATCGATAAATTAATACCGAAACTAGCCACTATGGCATTTTTAGCGCTGCAAACAACGTTAAAACGATTTCATTTACGGGAAGGCTTAAAAAGTGTGGTTTATCGTGGGCATATCGCAAATTTGGCAGCCCCGAAAGACAGTTTCGCACTGCACGTGAGAATCCAAGGATCAATTATGATCGGCTGTCGATAACCCGATTGCCCGTCATCCTATAAACAAATATGTAAATGCCTGGGGGAATTTATGGGTCTAATTTGAAAACTGTAGCCCAAAAATAAATGATTGGACATAGCTTAATTAACGTGTGTCGTAGGCTCTGCTGCCCCAACGAAGAACACATCGTTGATCCCTGACAAGAGGAGGAAGGTCATGGAACCAACAAGTAAATTCACTATAATAATGACATTCCTTTGTGATTCTCACTCCTAAATTTGTTTATTTATTTGTTAATAACTGGTTTTTTTTGTAAACCGCTTAAAATTCATTTAAATTTTAGCCTTATAATATACCAACGAAAATTCCTCTCTGTCATTATTTTATTGTATTAATTTATTCCACATTTTTGTGGTAAATTAATTTACATTAACAAAACTAAGATGAAGATCGTCGCTACATTGCTACGCTGCAAAATTTCTTTGTACAACGTACAGTACATAGTTAATATTTCAAATAATTTTCGCATTACAACAGCCCACATCATCTGCGATCCAGTAAATACGATGACACAATCCAATTGTATTATCCACAGCCTAGATCATGTACACAATTCTTCAGCGATCGTATAGTACAGAACCCACACCCTAATTTCAGACTGGATCTCCTGTAATATATCTGGAAACTATTATAAGTTAGTGAATGGTGAAAATTCCAAGTTTGGGGTACTTAACTTTTGTATATGAAGGGGGGACCATTGCCACTCACTCTTCCTCTCTTTCCGTCGAAGTCGGCGAGGGGATTATCACACCGCGAGGTCAGAAATTTCGAGAACAATAAAGCAATAATCAGAGAGCCGAAATTCAATTAATGGGAGCCGCAGTAAGGATCCGTGACTGGCGAGCCGCAGTTTGGCAATCGTGATTACGTCACAAATCAGAATTTTTGGTATTATTTATCGTACTCGGATCACGTAGGTTGAAGAGACTCGGGTACTTTCTCGACCCAGGAAATTATTCCACTCCTCGGATAAAATAATATAATTTAACAAATATTTTCGTAAATATTTAATTTCGTGAAATAAATTACAATTAATTCAAATAAGGTTTTTCTTTTAGAAATGTCCTTAAAATTGGATTGGTCCATTCTGCCGCAACGAACGAGAAATTGGAAGAAAATTAATAGCGAATTAGCGAGATTGAGGCCGAAGTTTTCATCTCTCAAACGTAAACGTCGAACGTCGAGCGCAGATATCTTGTAGGCGGCGCTCGACGTTCGACGTTCAAGAAAACGTCAGCCGCAACCTCTCTGCTATTGAACTGGAAACGTATATAACGAAATATTTTAAATAAATAAATAAACTTAAAATAATTTAGATAACGTCATTAATTTCAAATTTAAAGACTTTCTTTGCTGTAAACTTCCCAACGTCCACAACGTACAAAAATGTTCCATTGGAAGTAATGGCCATGTCGTGAGGCATGGAAAATCCCTACAAAAATTACATGAAATACGTTAAATACAGCCATTTAACTTGAATAATCGAATGAAAAATTTGTCTACTAACTTCGTAAGAATGCCAAGTGTTTATTACGTCTCCGTCGCTTAGTTTCATTGTTATACCCATGGCGGCGCCTTCTCTTGCGTAGGATAACGTCACGGCTAACATGTATTCACCTAAAACCAAGAATTATTATACACAATATAATCCCAATGCCGAATATGGCGACAAAGAAATCAACATACGGCAATTCGGAATTTTTTCTAGTCTGCTTTTGTCATATGCCCAGTGCTTAAATGTGTATTTTTGATTTTGAAAATTTTTTCAGTCGAATAGAAACATCTGCCGGAGAGGTGGAGTGTTTTAATTGGGAAACTGACTCCCTGTTTAGGTTTTAGACACGTGAAGAAAACACGACCGCGCCCTACGGTGTAAAAACCACCGAAAACTGGTAGTTGGTTGTGGATTGCGCCCGGTCACTTGGAGTTTCCCGGGTTTTCTTCGCATTTATAACACCTAAATAGGTACCAGTTTCCTTTAGAAAGTCCCCCTTTGGCAGATAGCCCACGTGTCGCGTTGCCGTGTACTGTACAAATAAACCAAATCATTATATATCGGTGTTTAAATAAATGAAAACTTACAATACGTAATGAAAAACACTGATCTAGTTTCGGGGGTTTAAGACCAAATTTTTAATGTTTTGATACTAACGAAAGCTTTATTCTTAAGAGAAAATTAATTATGCTAAACATCTCACCTCTATCAACAATAGCATATGGAGCACCCGTGGGTACATCGTTGTTTACTGTTAAATCTCCGAGTGAACCATCTTCTTTCAGCGAATAACAAAGAATTCTGGCATTCTCACGATCGGCAACGCACAGGCATTTTCTTTCTTCTATCAACGATAAGCTGTGAGGTACGTTCATTTTATCTATAATGTACAATTCATTTTCAGTGACGTTCAAATATCCAAGATCAAAATTTAATTTAATCGGAGCTAAATTGTAATATCACAGAATAACTATAAGTATTTTTTAAATTCCTTCCTCCCTGTGGTCACTAAAAAGGCCTTTCTTTAGCAATCCCATTATGAGTTCGACCAGGTCCACAAGCAGCAGCACAGTGGTGAAAAGTGGTCTTGATATATCTATGACCGATCACTCCTGGGTTCAGCCAGGCTCAAAATGGGCAGCTGGGTAGTGAGGAATAGGACTTAACATATCTGGGATGGGCCAAGTATTTTTTCGATCCGTCAGGATTCTTAAATTAATATCAATACAAAATCATGATACAATGAAACCTCTTAACAATGGCCACAGATGGAAACATATGAAAAAAAATGGCAGTTATTTGGAGATTTTTTTTGTAAATAACATGATGCAGAACAACCTACCATACTATTTCTAAAAAATAAAATAAAAAATAATGTGTTTAATCAATGGGAAGATGGGCTTGTGATACGCAGCGAGAAAGAAAATGGCGAATTGTTACACTTGTATATATCAGCTTTGCAAGTAGGAATAGATAAAAGAATGCTGATTACCTTCTATGTAGTGTTTAATTAAACATTGAAACTGCTTTAAAAGTATGTTGTAAATGAAATAACAATAACTATTGTCATAACAATAGATATAGTAAAATCTACCATATATTCAAAAATCATACCTTGTTGTCCAAATTCTCCATGGAACGTCCCGTCCGGTTTAAACGCTATAATTCGAGAATTACAATAACCGTCACTAACAAAGACAATGCCAGATGACGACACAGCCACGTCTGTAGGTTTACAAAAGTGAGATCTATCCGATCCCGGTTTGAATTTTTGTCCGAGAACGAGGAGAGGTTCCTCGTTATTTGAAGCAAATTTGAAAACCTTGAAATGAAGTACGGAGATTAAATGCATTTGTAATTTTTGCACAATTGTTCTCTTAGAATTACATTATTTAATATTCGAGCGAATCCGTACAAAGCAAACAAGTACTGTGTTTAATTAATTAAACTACAGAAATTAGGGAATGTTACCTGATGAAGGGCTACATCCGTTACCCAAGAATTTTCGTGACTGTCTAAAGTTAATCCGTGAGGAAGATAAAATCTGAAACATTAAGAAAACAATTATCAATATTAAATCATTGCTCCTAAAACTACACGAGATATTGTATCTTAAACACTAAAGCTACACACTTCTATCAAATCTTTAGCAATTATCCCAATCTAAAGTCTACTTGTAGTACAGAAATTCGATCCTAACGTGCCTAGAATATGCAGAAATGATATTAATTCAGAGTACACGATATCGGCTCACAGTACAGATAAAGACTACAGTAGATCTTTGGTTAAAAGATTACATAAACGTGTGACATTCTCATGGGAAATGAGAATACTGCGCTTGCATCCTTCATAAAAATAGACGAATCTGAAGTAAACTGGAATCAGGTTAGGGACATCAAAAGAATTGACAGACCGGGCAAAGGGGCGATATACTGATAATAAAAGCTTGCAGAGAACTGTTTAAATACAACAGATTGCAAGTTCCTTGAAGATATCGGGATGCAAATGAGAGCAGTAACAGGCACAACGTTGGTGTCACTTCATAGCTAAACTTTTCGTTTGATCACCCGGTATAAATATATATAAAACTTGGCTTACACTATGAATAAATGCAGTTATTTGTAACTTATAAATTAGCAGATTTTGTTGTTCAAGAACCCGGATCTCTGGAACCACGAGGCCACAAGTGGCAAAATGAGGCAATCGTTTAGTGGTAGCTTTCAGCATCTGCAATCCCCGACTATCAGTGCTAAAATTACCACACATAAGACAAAACCTAATTAATCCTTCGAGGATAATGATGAATTTGACATTTGTAAATTTACAACCATAATAAAACCAAAGCGGAAAGTAACAAACCTGTTTTTCCCCCAGCTTCTAATTACTTGTCCGGAAGAGGGATCCAAAATTAAGATCGTGTCAATTTGAATAGGGCCCAATTCTTGTTGCTGATAATTATCGCCTTTAAAACTTCTACAATAAAAATATATACGAATAATTATCTTGAAAACACATCGGTAATTTTATAGAATTATTGCAATATATAAAATTACGAGGAATTAAATAAAACATTTACCTCATGTCCCACATTCTGTCCCCACGATGAAACACGTGGACATTTCCTAACCTGTCAACGTCCACGCCCGCTACCTGTCGGATGTCTCTGAATATATTTTCTGGAGGCCATTCTACCTGTTCTTCGATCGATATTCTGGTGTTTTCGTTTCTCAGGAATTTGTCATTCTTCAAAAAAAATTATTTTATAAAACAAAAACCAGAATTTTCTTGTATTTTAAATATTCTGTCTTTTATGCGGCAAAAAAGAAAAGAATTCCATCAACGAGTTGCGTATATTTCCCGGCTTTTATAAAATTTTATTATAAAAATAACTTTTATATTATTAATCATAATAAATAAAATTGCGTGTGTCGCCATCTGTTATGAGATTTTGTTAAATATAAAAAAAATCTTTATTACAAAATGGCAAAAAAATTAATTTTGAGGTTCGAGATGTGTTTTATTAAGTGTGTAAATGAAAGTCGATTAAGTCCAACCTCTCTGCAGATATGACACGTGACACCCCTCTAACTCCCCAACCCCTCGATCTTTAACTATCAAAATTTAATAACAACAATGTCTCACGTACACAAGTTACCATACCAAATTTCGTTACTTAATTTTTACCCCATCCTGAGATATTAAATGAATATGCGCCCACAAACACGAAAACACACACCCACGGAATTCTCCCCCTTTTTTTGGGTTCAGGTCTCAAAACACGGAGATTTCCAAAATTTCCGGAGGGCCAAATTTCACAGGACATTTGAGCCTAACGCAATAAAAACGGACAACGTCGAAATTCGAAAAAAAAAATAGCTATTAAATTGTTAAATTACACACTTAACAGAAGAATCTGTCGTTACAGCAGTGTGTTATCGATTTTGCACCTGTTGATGACGTCAGACAGAGGAGATAGAGGTAGAAGCGCGTGTCGTCGTTCGTAGTCTACGGGCAAGTCGCCCGGTAAAGCGGCTTTTAAGCTTTTGCCGTATTATAATAATTAGCATTTTAATAAAATCACGTAACAGATGTCGTCACACGTAATTCTTTCTTTAGCCGGGAAATTTAAGCAACTCCTTGCTGGACTTTTAAACTGTTAGACAAGTGTCTCCAAAGTAGTCGATATCGCCTCCCCCCCAGGATTCGATCGAAAACAGCACGTTCGTAAAAAGTTATTAGTGCAATGGGTTATGTGTACGGTAAAACCTGTCCAATACGGAACCCGGGAATAAAATTATTCGGTACAGTCTGGTTCCGGTTTAAACAGGTTTTGACGTGTTAATACTGTGTGTAGATTAACACCGTCTCACCAGATTATTAGCCGAATTAGCATAAAAGAGGGGTGGGTCAACGGTCAAAAAAGTTCGGAGATTCCCGGTATAATGAATTTGGTTTGTTTTCGGCAACGCGACAGTGGGGAGATTCGAGTACCTATTCAGGTGTTACATACGTGAAGAAAACCCGGGAAACTTCCCGTCGGTACCATTTTTCGATGGGATCTTATCCAATAGTCCAGTAGTATGAGGGGCCAACGAGGTAATAATTCCCGGAAGACAAACGAAAAGATCAAATATTTCATCTGTCTAGCGAATTCGATTTTCGTGCGGATCGGTTAAATGGGATGCCGCAACGCAACACACGGGTGACGTGCCAAGCGGGATGCCCTCCCACGAATTTCTGATCATATTTAGTTGTTAGACACAAGGAGAAAATTCCATCTAATTATTATACGTTATTTTATTCTCACACTTCCCCAACGTGGCTAGCCCGTCGGAGAGGCGCGAATCCACGATCATAACATACTTAGATATAACGAACAACCTTCCCCGGAAGAAGCTATCCTTGTTTTCCGGAAGACGTCACTTCCGTTCGGAAAAGGGGGTTTAAAAATCGTTTAGACTTTTATCTGTCGGACACGCGTTCGTATTGTTTAAATAGAATGCGTGAAAGGTTGACGTTTCGCGTCGTTTAGAAGAAATGGCGATTTTATGGAGGGAGGAGGAACCACCCGTTTCCGATTCGAACCGAGGAAAGAAGAAATGGAGGTTATTTTCCGTCGGGAAGAAGTCTCTTACCGTTTTGTAGTCGAGGAATTGCTCGGGATAGAAGTATTCTGCCGGTTCGGGGTAGAATCCGGCGGCCAAACAACCGGCCGACAGACACAGCAAGAGACGCGCACACACCATTCGATCACGGCATTAATCGACGTCTTCTTCTCTAGCCTCGAACCGGAAACCAATCTTTCCGTTGTAGATGGCGCTGACAGCGAGAACAGACGACGGAAGTTGGAAAATTTTTAACGCTGGTTATTCCGCTCGGTCGTGGGTTAATTTCGGTAAAAAAAAAAAAAAAAAAGAAAGTCGTACGCGAACTACCACTCGAAAATTGGTATCGATCGAGAGGGAGAAGCGCGGGAGACGTTCTCCTTCGTCCAATTCGTTACACGTTAAATAACACTCGAATTTTCAGATCGTCGACGTACAAACCAATCGGCGACGTTTTAATTAAAACAATTGGATAAGCGAGCCAATGACTTGGCCCGTTTCATTTGAAACGGATAAGTGATTGGCTTGCTTATACAGCTGTATTATTAAAGTAACTTTACCAGGCAACGTGATGTTTCTCGTTGCTGCCTTACTTTGCAACACGTATTGTATGAAATAATACGGTTAAACAATGCGAATTTTCACGAACGTGTTCAATGTTTACCCTCTTCACTACAGTTCGGTAATTGATAGGATTCTCCCACCTCCATTTCCGTAGCATCCTGTCACGACCCGATTCTGGCAAACGCACAAGAATCTTTCGTAGTCACGTGAGAATGCCCAATTGTTTCTTTAGGAGTCTGGTCTGCTATAACGTCGCGATGATTGAAATACATTATAACACGAGATTTTCGAGACTAACAAATAGTAGTGTTACGCGGCTGACACTCGAAGCATGTACAGCCTCTCAATACCGCTTCATTCATTCTTATAACTAGAATCCTTCCTTGTGTTTGGAGCTACTAATATACAAAACCACCTCTCATTCGTGAGAGGTGGTTTTGTATATTAGTAGGTACTAAGCTGCACAGAGTGGCATCTTCCGCCTTTGCTCGGTGACGAGCAATGTAAATGAATGTTTTTGCACCGGTCGATATTTAGGTTTTTCTCTTGCCGCAGTGGTAATTTCGACCTCTTCTAGACTTCTTTTCCGCAGTTGTTTGGTCTGGATCACACCGAACGACTGCGGTTTGTTTGGCAGCTCTGATGTAAGAAAAATGTCAATTTTAGGAATGTGCGGGTGACTTACAACGCTCCACTTAAGAATTGAATAATGAGGAAATGCTTTTAACATACCATTCCCAATCTTATCGGGTCATTGAGGCAGTTAATGTATTTTATATTTTCTCAGTGTTCGTTCCGATTTCGAGTTTTCTGTCAACAAATTGTTTCTCGAATAAGCTAGTGTCGAATTGGTCTCGATGTCATAATATGCTAAACAGTAGCGAACTGCAGTTTACCTTTGGAATGTATGCTATGCAGATGCTGACTGCCATTGTACTGTTATGATAAGGAATAACAATTGGATCCGGTAGGCTACCAGTTGGACTGTGTTGATTTTAGGAATTTGGCAAAAAGAAGAGTTGACATGGCAAGAGGAAACCTCAATATTGTCATGAAAGCATTTGTTTATGTTGTTCGTTACCGAGTGAAGGCAGAAGATGCCACTCGGTGGAATTTAGTACCTACTGATATACAAACTACTCCGTGCCGACTTTCATTTGTATATCCACGTGTGCATCACCTGGTTTTTGAAATCAATATACTTTCCTTCAGTGAACTATTTAACAAAGCCCCAAACACCAGCAAACATTCTAGTTATAAGTATGAATGAAGCAAATATTGAAGAGTTAAGTATTAAGAAAAGCTTTGAGTCTGTACATGTTTCTAGTGCTGCCGGTCCCTAATACTATTTCCATAACATCTTGTTATTTTTATCGGATGAAATTTAATTATGTATTTTTAGTAACAAAAAACATCTGGACTTGTGTTTCTGATTGCTTCCTATCTTCGGTATAGAGGTCAAAGCCTTCGTATCACATTCTGTAGAAGATAACAGTGATTATTATTTTTCAAATTCTTATATTTACTGAGACATTTAAGATGCATCACTAAATAAAAGAACTGTAGAACTTCTACTTAAACATAAATATTGGAATGATTTTTATTGTAGAAGACAGTGTTTTGTGTTACAAATGCAACGATAGCAGATTTAACATTCCAAAATTTTATTTGTAATTTTTCAAAATATAATGCAAAACTGTAACAACAAAGTATTCTTAAACATCAGATAGATGACATATGGCAACTATGAAACGAATTATCACATATATAAAAAATTATGATGATTCCAATTTCTGATTGTTTCCTCGCAACGAACGCAACTGAATTCGATTAAATTCCTCCATAAAAAAATCAAAATCTGGCAATCTTAACAATCTTATTTATATAATACGAATGCCAACACTCCTGAAAATTGGGTACGTAGCTTTTAAATGGAATGATAGGAAGCGGAGGACCTATTTTCACTAATCTCGTTTTGTACTTTCTGCAACGACGTGTTTCACGGCTGGAAATAAAACCCAGTAAATTTCGTGCGGCTCTGAATATAAATTAACAAAAAAACTAATGAGACTTACCTCCATCCAAGGCCTGAGAAGCCAATCCCGTTGCAGCATTCATGGCTTTGTTAAGAGTGCTGTCTATATTTTCTCTGTTCTTTAAGAAAACCGGTCGAATGAAACGGTTGTAGATAACTGATGATCCGTTATTGGACGTGGGAATAAAGCACCAGATGAGAAATATGCACTAGAAATTAAAAAAAAATTATATATAACCAAATTAATATCCATAAAATTATCCTACGGCTACTTATCTTTCAATATGTACTTGTAACGACCCAACAGTTTAAAATTAATTATTGAAAATCCTCAATAATAGAGATAATTAAGTTATTTTATAACTACAGAAATTCACACACAGACAGATCTATCACCACCTGTTGCAAAATTATTGTTAAATTTTGAATCGGACTGAAGTAAGATTCAAACTTGCAACTCAATATAATATACTAGCTGCTAGCTTCTGTTCCGTTAGATGATAATGGCAATGAACTCATTACGCCACAATTACAGTTGTCCCCACATCAGGCAGATGTTTCTCAGACAATATTTGGTTAATTTAAAATTGTTAATCGTAAAAAATTCACAAAAAGAATAAATTAATTTATTTTTAAATAAAATTCCAGTAAAGTTGACTTTTGTTTATCAAAATTTCCTTAACATAGTGACTTGCTTATGTGCTCTAATGGTTATTTATTTATTTATTTTCAAAAAGACATTGTTCGCCAAATAGGCCTTTCTCAGGCATCTTAGAACAAAAACCAACAAAATAAAACATAGTAGTAAGAGGGTTAGTTAAACAATAACCAAGACATTAGCTGAAAAATTTACATTATTTTTTAAGTCCAACAATCACTATAGATTAAAGTTTTTTACATTCGTTTTTGAAGATTTTGTAACTTGATATATTCCTTAATTAAATTATTACTCAAACTATTCCAATAGGAAGTCATTTTGAAGATCAGTGCAGATTTTCCCACCAAGTCTAACGATTGGAAGATTATATTCACAGATCTTGCGAGTATCTCGTGTTCCTGATCTTCGATGTTCACCTATGTTATTTCCGAGACAGCTGTTTTCCTTGTTACCCTTTATGTATTTATAACTCTCTAACAGGACTTGTTTCGTGTAAATTTCATATATCCTATCAATATTGTCGGTGCGGTAGAATTCTGACATCAATTCCCTAAAATATAGATTATGTATTGAACGCATGTAGCGAATTTGTACCACCTGAAGTTTGTTGATAGCGTATAAAGATGCAGTTCACCAGACTATAATTCCATATCTTATTTTGGATTCTATGCATATATGGTACAACCGTTTCAAATGTAATGTACTTAAGCATAGAGCAATATCATCTATTTGTCTGTTCCAGCGCAGATTATTGTCAAAAGTTATTTCTAAAAAAACTTAATAGTGTTTACACTTTCTATGTTATCAGCAGTTATTTAGATTTTTAGATGGTTGAAGTTAACTTTTTCGTTTCTATTGGCAAAACAGAGAAGTTTTGTCTTGTTTTTATTAATTACCATCTATTTTTTCCATATAATTGTTTAATGTTTTTAAAATGTTATTTAAATTCTCTTGAAGGATTGTAGCATTTGTATGAGAAGTTATCACTATATCGTCAGCATACATTAAATATATCATCTTTTGATACACAGTATGATTGAACAAATCATTGATGTATATATTGAAAAGCAGAGGACCTAGAATTGAACCAAGGAATGCCCTTGTTTGACTTAAATGAACTGGAAATAACCGGTCCAATTTTGATGTAGTAAGTTCTGTTTAATAAATATGACTTTAACCAACTTAGAGGAGTTCCTCTTAGACTAACAGTTTGTAATTTTAATTCTAAAACTTCCAGATTCAAGCTATCAAATGCTTTTGAAAGGTCTACAAAAACTGACATTACTATATTTGATTTATCAACTTGCGACATTACTGTTTTAAATGCAACAAAGCATCTACCGTCGAGAATCCCAGTTTGTAAGCGTATTGATTACTGTGAATAATCTGGAATTTGTTTATAAAAGTAGAAAATCTTCTCAAAAATTTTTTCCAGAATATATACTATTATGATTGGACGGTAGTTTTCTATCTCACATTTAGATCCTTTATCCTTATATAATGGCAACACTAAGTTTTGATTTAACTTTTCTGTTAAACAACTTAATTAGTTCAATTATTAACCATCAATAACATGAAGTATGAAATAATGTCATTCTCCCAGTTGTAATTTACACTCTTGTTAGTTAACATAATGTAAAGCGTGGCTACTTTGCACTGATTTTTTCTTCATAAGTCTTTGCAGTCTCTTATATTGGAGTTCTAAATGTTTTCTATTGCTTGCGTACTCTAAAATGTCTATTGAAACATCTAACCAAATCTCAGCATTGCAGCTTTCTCAATTTAAGAAAGAAAGAAAAACCAAAAAATATGGCACAAAGTATCCTCATAGAGGGAGGATACTTTACACCATTTTAAATACTGCATACATAAAAAACCAGGAATGGACAAGGAGCAATGCTTTCACTGGGCAATGTTACTGTAAACTATACTCAAAAAAGCAGACTATTTGAAATAAGAGCAGCAATTTATTAAATTAACAATATCTACGATATGTATAAAAGAGATACAGAATTAAATTATGTGATTTTCAAATCATAATTGATATACTAGCCTTAGAGGCATTGCAGACATTTTCTAGATACTTGACACCTTGTATAACTCTCTTGGATTCTGGGTCATCAGTTATGTTAGTCTCATCATAATTCCAAAATGTTTTCAGGGGTTACTGTTCCAAAGTTTTTGTAAAATTGTCTATGAAATCTAAGTATTTCCTTTTCTATCAAGACCCTAGCCTTTTTTATGTTTGCTGCAAAACATAATGTTAATTGTGATTTTCTTTTTAAATAACCTCTCAATTATTGTTTTTCTGGTCAATTATTTACAAACTGTTTCACTATTCTCCTAGTCCAACACAAATAAGCATGAACAAATGCAGTGTAATTTAGACTCATTACGGGGAATCCAAAAGTCACTCAAGAAACAGCATAATCAGAAAACATTCTTCTCTACTCCACCTCTATGCTGGTGCAAAGTACCCCACCATAACTAAAATGTTCATATGCATTTGCATTTATGCTTAAATATATATTTTATTTTTAATTAAATATAATTAAAAATAAAATAAATATATATTTACATTGTTATAGCTATGAGGCTTTGAAATAGTTACAACAGTTAATATTACAATATTTTGAACTTTTTTTGGTCTAAAGTTGAATCAAGAGTCTAGCCAGTGCAAAGAATTGTGGGATGCCCTATTCAATTATGGAATATGCTATAATATGCCCTCTGAGATAACATAAGAAAATGTATTCAAGTGATTCATATTTTACTTGCCACAGGTTGGTAAAAGTGATTTGCAAAGTATCCGCACTTTATGGTAACTTTCTTTAGCTAACTGAGAAGTGACGAAAATGGAAACTGTAACAGAGAATGTTGCAGATAATCCCCATTCATACGTTATATAAACTGACCAAATTTTACTGTGGCTTATCGTAAGTTCATAGTTTTGTTGATTCTTGTCATGTATAAATTATAACAAAGCATCGTAGACTATCTCCAGTAACCACTAAGTCCAGTTACATCAATAAATTATGACACCATGCGTCACAAAATATATAATCCATGAAATACAATATTCGCTACCAGTTATAATGTCAGGATTTACAGGCAAAAGTTCTCTTGCCAGTTACACAACTGTTGAATTTTCTTTGCTGGTTTCGGTTTTCAAGTGTTTGGTACATCTAAACAATCAATATTGTTGCTACAATTACTTGGCCATAGTGTGTCAAATTTTTGCAACATTATTGATAAAAGAAAAATTGATATTTAGCATTTCATATAGATATTTTTTCTTCACTTCCCTAATGATACTTTTTGTATGCTTCTAAAAATTTTATGATCTTTTCTGAAGTCCACTTTTTCTTCATTTTTTAATTTAAAAGAATTAATTAATTGTGTTTAATTAATTAATCAGTCACAATAACAATACATACATAGTAGTGATAATTAATATTAAAACAAAACTTCACTAGTAAAATCTTCACATCACAGATGGACTGCCATGATAGTTTATGGTCAAACATGCAATGTTTACTGGCAGTGGTGTGCAATTCATCATGGGTGCCAGCAAATCCATGCAAATGTAAATCCGGCTTAAGATAATATCAGTGTATCAAGTTTCCTACGGCTCCAACCACATAAGCTTCTCTTTTGATGGTAGACCACGTATGTCGAGCCTTAACCTGTCCCGCGTTGTTCCCAAATATTTTCGTGTTGACTTCAGTTGACCTTCGTGGGCGTTCCCAAATATATTCGTTTCTGCATCGGAATGTTTTTTAAACATCAGATGTCGCTACTTGTATGGAGTTCCGAAATTAGTGACTCTTATCAAAAGAACCATTATGTTATCTAGTTTTTGCACGGCAGGATACTGCAATTCTAGGAATAGTTGCTTATAAGAAATCACAAAGGAAAGTAGACTATTAGTTCGTCTCTGTTTTGACAAGGCAACGACTGGGAGAAAGAGCACTCTGAATAAATCAGAATTGATCAAATATTTATTTATTTTAGGTTCCAATGAGTCTGAATTATCAGACAGCAACAACGAGTACATACAAAATGAAAATATAAGAGATGATAGTGGTAATATTGATCACAAAATACGACGACAAGTGGATATAGAGGCCGATCACGCAGTAATACTCGAGGAAATAATGGTGCACAAAGTCCACGATTTAGTAGTGACAATGGTTAGATCTGTACGAACTTTAGAAGCCCTCAAGTAAACAGTTTCACAGGCCCAGCAGGAATCCAATGTAATTTACGAAGTGATGCTACCAGGGCTGTGGAGTCGGAGTCGTGGAGTTTTGGTGTTTTAGCCAGAGTCGGAGTCGTGGAGTTTTGGTGTTTTAGCCGGAGTCGGAGTCGGATGGTAAGGAAAAGTCGGAGCCGGTAGATTTTTACGCGACTCCACAGCCCTAGCAGGATTGTGGAGTCGGATCATGGAGTTTTGGTGTTTTAACCGGAATCAGAGTCGGATTGGTAATGAAAAGTCGGAGTCAGTAGATTTTTACGTGACTCCACAGCCCTGGATGCTACACCAATTGACTGTTTTAGTATATTTTTTGATGATGAACTAGTGGACAAGATCGTTGAAGAAATGAACAGGTATGGTGATAGTTTGATAAACTGTGACGATTTACAGGAAAATAGTTGTATAAAGAACTGGAAACCAAAAACAAATCCAGAAAATAGAGAATTTGTAATAATGGAATTTGTAATAGAGGACTTATAATGGTCACAAGTATCATTATAAAACTGCGCCTAGGCATGTACTTTACAATTGACAATGTTTTCTACACCATTGTTTTCGAGTGCAATGTCAAGCAATCTGCTTTCTGCTTTTATTGTAATGTCTGCATTTTACAGACAATAATCAAGCCTCAGGTAGTGATGATAAACTGCATAAATTATGCAGTGTTATTGATCATTTACACCACAGGTTTAAATATGCTTACATCCCAGATGAAAATGTCTGTGTAGATGAAAGTCTTATGTTATGGAAAGGCAGACTGGGATTTAGACAATATATACTGAGCAAGTGCGCTCTTTTTGGTGTAAAAAGCTTTGAAATTTGCGAGTCACGAACAGGATATGTTTGGGACTTTATAGTTTACATGGGAGCTACAATGGAATATGGAAGTTTTGAAGGTGAGCAAGGTGAAAAAGTTGTGTTTACCTTATTAGAACTGTTGCTCGGTAAGAATTTCAAGGGTTTTTTAGACAGGTTTTTCACCTCACCAACCTTAGCAAAAACGCTTCTGGAGAAACAAACATATGTGGAACCATGAACAAAAAATCGGATTGGAATGACACAAAATTTTCCTGACCATAAACTGAAGGAAGGGGAATTTATAACCTGTCAGAAAGATAAATTGTCTGTGTTTTGTTGGAAAGATAAAAGAGATGTGACAATTCTAAATATGACGAGTAACAACAGATTCTCTGATTCTGGTAAACGTAACAGATAAGGAGATGTAATAATGAAGTCAAATTGTATTTTAGATTATAATTGTAATATGAGTGGAATCAATCTGTGTGATGGAGTGATACACAATTATCTGTGCATGAGAAAAACAGTAAAATGGTATAAAAAAACTGTTTTTTCATATGATGGATATTGCACTATATAATGCTTGTGTTTTGTATTGCCAACATATGAAAAAACAGATATCATTTCTTGATTTTCATATGTCTGTTATTAGAGAAGTGATGGAAAAGTTTCACACAAACAGACACATAGCCTACCATGGTTGACTGTCACGTGAAAATCCATTATGTTTATCCAAATGGCATTTTTCCAGTTTTATATCACCAACAGAAAAAAAATCCAACTAGAGTTTGTAAAGTCTTTTCAGCAAACAAAAAGCGAGTAGAATCATGCTATCAGTGCGTACAATGTTCCATTCCTCGCTTTGAGATTTATCACACTAAAACTAATTTCTAAAATAAAAGTTTTTGTTTTTACATTTCCTAATATGTCTATTTTGTGTGTGTAAAATATAAAGTAATTTGGAATGATACAATAGCTACAATTATTATTTTTCTAGAACGCGTGATCGTGTTAGGCTTAACATTGAAAAAAATTCAACGTGGAGTGACATGCAACAAAGAAAATATTCAACATCAGATAGGTTAAGCCAATTTAGACTTTGTAAGCATACTACATTTACTGCTTGCTGCAAACCTTCCCTTTCGTTTAAATGACTGTTTTATCTACTGATATAAATCTATGTTGCAAAGAATCAGAAAAATTAAACCTTTTACAGCTGTAAATGCAGGACAGATCAATGGCTTGGCTTAAAGCATTATTTGATAATATAATATTACAAATACAATATGCTAAGTTTTACGTAAATATAGTGATCACATTGGACAGAAAGGCATTATTACAGAATTCTCAAAAAAATTTATAACAAACAGCTGAAACAGTGTGAATATATGAGAGTGTCTTGGAAAGTTCTGAGAACACTAAATCCCTTTCTAGAATATAAACGTGGTTAATAAAAATCAATTAATATTAAATTTAGTTTCTTTAAAATAATTATTGACAAAACAATTATCTTAGACATAACTATTATGCACATACCTTCGTTAACCAATAGAAAGGAACCCAATTTAATATGATGTCTGAGAAGAATTCGACGGTGTTAAAAGCGGCGAAAACCACCCAATATGTAAGCCACTTGGTATCATCATCTTTGGAACTGCTTTCTATTGCAACAATACTGGAAATACATACAAATTATTATATATAAGTAAAAAGAATATAATTTATTATATTAAAATACAGAGTTAATATTTCAGAATTAACTGTGTGTTTATTTAAATTCAAAGTTCTACTCTTCAGCCTATACTATTAACATAAGCTTTTAAATTTACATACATAGAAAAATGCCGGAAAATAGCTAATATCTATTTTATCAAAATGTAATTTTAAATGACTTATCATTATTCATTAGTAAAATTGTAAATCAATTTTTGAAAATATGCAAAAAATTTAAAAAAGGGTTAATTTGTTCTAATTTATGCAAACTCAAGTGAATTATTATATTATTAGATACTGTATTGGCCTGAATATTAGTCTTTGTTTTATCCAAGTTTTAAAGGGGGAAGCTCTTGATCTTTAGTTAGGTCCTGACTTATATTTGAGTCCCATTAAAATTTTCCTTGCTTTTAATAGCTGTCTGTGATACACACTGTGAAGAGTTAAAACTAATACTGAAATTTGATGCGTCGATTGTTTAGTGATGCTAAATGCCAGCCAAGTTGCCTGTCATGATGCACTCCACGAACTAAGTGTTTGGAACAATTGTATTTACAGCTATCTGGGAATCAATCAGCATAAATAAACTTTAGATTGCTTTCTTAGTCATTTTTATGAATTGTATTTAAATTGTATCTAGTTGATCAGAATATTGTATTCGAACAGTTTGTTTTATAGAAAAAACTATATGAATTGTACACCCATTTTATAAGTGACAAATAGTTTAAGTTTTTTTTTTGGTTAAAATTAATAAAAGCTATAGAGCAAAAGCAAAATAATGACCTATGCACCGGGCTGCTCCTCATATACATCATGCCATGGAAGTAGGCTTTCTGGCATATTTCACGTGTATTCCAGAGTATGCGCTTCAGATTTATGACTATCAGAAATGAAACTTTGTATTCTATTTTTGTTTGGTTTATATCTGTGTAAAATATTTTTGTACAGTCTAAAACAGGGTGTCCAACCTTTTTTGTTTCTCCGGGCCACATTGTAAGAAATCATGGAGTTTTGAGCCACAAGTATATATATACTCGTGGCCCAATCCTTAAATATACAAGTATATTTAAGGATATTTAAAAAAATTACTTCTAAAGACACTTTCAATTTTTACTTAGAAATAGATAAATTCATTTATTATAAAGGAGACAAACAAAAGTTTATTTGAAAAATACAATTATTTGTTTTACTTGGGTGTCTAATTTATAAAAAGCTACACAAAAGGAAATTAGATTACAAGTAACTTGTTTTTTCTGTGAGATGGAGAGTTTTACGGAATGTGAAGTTATCGAGAATAAAATTTCCGGGACTCTACTGTATTGTTATATGCAGCACGAGATCAAAATTTTGCATCAATAGATTTAATGGTGTAAATTTTTATTACTAGTAAAACAATATTTTAATTGCAAATATTTTCAACCTATTTAATAGGTCATCATCAGGCTTCACGCAACATAAAATCTACAGTTATTGTCAGCAAGAAATTTGTAATGACATTAAGTTATAATATGGTATTGCATATGAAATAATATGTGTTTTTATTACATTTATATTTGATGAGTTCTGTTTATTATTTCAATAGATGCGGGGTCGGATTAACCAATAGACGAACAAGACAAATGTCTAGGGCCTGTAATTCGGAGAAGCCCGCCTCCAGTAGAGAAAAAAAAAATAATAATAATAAAATTAAAAAAATAAATGTAATCATAATAATTGATAAAGTAATAAAATCAGATTCGGTGTTACATACCATACCAGTATAGTGTGCTTGTATACATGATAACTCCAAATATGCATACTGTGCATGTATTAATTTTTGTATTCTCTATTATTAATAAAAAATCTTTAAGCGACACTACTTCAGAAGCAACTTATTAAATGGAGCCCCAATCCAAATTTTGTCAAGGACCCAGTAGAAGCTTAATCTGGCACTAAATAGATGTGTTACAATATTTTAGAGTTATAGCATATAATGACGACACTTTTTTATATTCCCCTTATGTGTATCTATTATAGAAACTGAAGTAATCAAATATACAGAAATGTGCCCTTGCTATAATGATTTTCCAGTAAGATTTCAATCATCCTGTCAGTAAAACCTGTTATTATAATACAAAAAATCCTTTAAAAACATTCCTCAAGACAATACATACAAATGTGTCTTTATTCCAATCCAGTCCTTTCAAATGCACATTTGAGGAATTAACAAATTTCACGGCAGAGTAGACCTTTCTTTACAGACTGTCCGCCTCTAAATGTAAAACAGTTAAAATATTCCTCAGACGATGGCACTTCATACACTCCGTATAAAATTAAATAAATACATTTAATATAAAAATATTTCTATGTATTTATTCACATTCTGTTTCATGTTCATTACTTTCTTTCAGTTACTTCTCTTATTCATATATTTAATTATAGATAAAATAGTCATGTTATTTAGTTACTTATTCTAATATTGTTCAAATCTAAAGCCTCCGTCATGCTTTCAACTCTGGTATCAAAATGTTATGGCAACATTTTTCTCTTGGATGTTCACAGATCGAGATTAAATTTGTTAACAACGTTACAATGCTAGTTTCTAAATTTATATTCAGAAACACTGACTTGCAACGTAGCAATTCATTTTCCCCTCATTAATAAATTTAATGTAAATGATCAAAGGACAATGAAATATCACAGAAAGTGTTTATTCATCAACTGCACAAAGAAAACATAATATACAATTTATCCACGAGATAAACTGTACTATCTGACCTCCTTTAATTCCTTCATACCGAATATCTTTAATTAAATAAATTTCTATTGGTTGCATATGGACTTTCTGAATGAAAAGACTTACCAACAGGCTCAAACAATAGAAGATAAAGTTGAGTGAGTGAAAGGAAAACTATTCTAGCTTTGCTTTAACTATTTTAATGTGATGTTAGATTGCACTAAGTTTATATCTATTTATATTTATTATGATTGATGATATTTTTAATACCAAACGAACAGCCGGATCTGTTATCACGCTATACAGCTAAAAAAATCACTAAGCAATTTGGCAGGAGTCAAACTGCAAGGTTGACATCTCTTGTTTATTTATTTATAATTATTACATGTAATGAGAGATGGTGGCCTGCCTCATGCCAAATTGCTTAGTAATTATTTAGCCTTATAGCCCAATAAAAAGTCTGGCTGCTTGATATTTGAAATAAATACTGGCGTAAGTTGCTGATTTTTTGTTTGTGCTATATGAATTATTATAAAAAATTTAAAATCTATCAGTAACTTTCCACTTGTGATATTGTGCATATTATTATCTCTCAGTTAATAAAATACGAAATGAAATAAGACTTACGATGCATAGGCAGGATAGAGAAATCCAATACAGTTGCATATTAGTTGGGCACCGTGACCAATCACAAGATATAGGGCAATTAATGAGACAGCACCTAAAATAAGAAAAATTTACATCAATTTCATTATTCTATGTTTTTATTAACCGTTATCTTGAATATATTTACAGTTTAAAAATAATTAAAATACCAATATTTACTCAATCACAAACCAGAAGGAATGTCACTCATACTTTACTACATATTTTTCTTTATTCTAAATCAATATGGCATTAAAATTATTATAAAATGTCTTTTCATTCCAATTAACTGAACTTTTCTAATTTTTTTCTTAAAATCTACTTTGAAAGACCAATGTTGTGTTTTAAAAGAAACGCTTTTAAAACACAACATTGGTCTTTCAAAGTACTACGTTTTAGAGATGAAAACTTCGACCGCAACCTTGCTAATAAAGTAAGGAAATTGAGGCAAAAGAATTAATTATGGAGCCCAGTATACTGAACCACAAGCATGACTAACCATGAATACTGTATGTTTATATACTACAAAAAAAAAATCAAGACAGTTTATTATGTTGAAAATACATAATATTTAATCACTATGAATTAAACAACAAACACAGTTTACATATTTTATTAAAAACTGATGATTATTATCAATTGAATGAACACTTAAGGCAAACAGAAACTAACATATACAAATATGATTCAACTATAGTCCATGCAGGAAAAAAGTAGCATGAGCCAGAATGCTCATGAAAGTCATGAAAGAGATGAAAGGAAACATGTGGATAATGTTAGAATTAAGATTAAGTAGTAAAATTTATAAAAATATAAAATGAAAATTCAAAATACAGTATTAACAAAAATTTAAAGTTGCTCAATACCTTGCAAAAACAAATATATAAGTTGTAACTGGCTTTAAATATCTAGCTCGGTGCCACGGCCGTACATTTGTTTAAACAGCTAAACACAGCCACAAATACGGAAGCATTATGGGTTTCTTAGTTTGAATTGAAGAAGCCATTCAAACTAGGCCGATGAAGCTGCAACTTTATGCAGCTGGGTAACGAGAACTGTGGTTTCTGAATCTAAACCTTGCAAGGAAAGCCACCAGATTAAAAGGCTTGACAGACATAGTAAGGAATTACCCAAAAAGGTAATTGAGAAGGCCTGCTTTTGCCTGACAGTTGCTTGATATCAGGCATGGATTTGGAATACTAAATCCATGCCTGATATCTTAAAACTACTGGCATATTTCAAGGCTTCATCAATCTGCTCTCTGAATAGTTTTATCAGTGAACTGTGGATGAAGGATGTTTGTTAGGAGATAGTCAGCATAAATGGTCGTATCAACTCTCTCTTGGACCTTTCCCAGCAAATGGGTGGGCGAATCCCAACTCCTCAGTTCTCCCAGAACTACAAAAATAAGCGTGTCTATTTTAAGATGTTCTTCTTCCCCATCCCATTTTAATTCACTGTATCGTACAAAATAGACTTTCTGATAAACGTACAGTGAATGCCCTTTCACCTTATTTTTAACCAGTTTTAATTAATTTTAAGGTTTGTGTGTTTTACTACCTTTTTATACATTTTAACAAAATTATATTTATTTTTACAGGTATATCCTCTTATTATTTTTACAACATTTTATTACATTCTTTTATTTATTTATTTTTTAAAAATATATTTCAGTTTTACTTATTTTACACGAAGGTTTTAATAATTAGTCGTTTCAGTTCTCACTATTATAATTTTTATATAATTATATTTTTTGAAAAAACTTTTGTATGCATATGTTAAATATATTTTAATACATTTTGTAATTTCTTACATAATTTTTTGCCGATATGTTATGCATATCCTTTATAAATTATAGAAAATAAACTACTTTTTCTATCAAAAAGAGAGTTCCTGCATGATTTGTTCTCAACAGTAACCGTGTGCTAATTCCAAAGGAAATACAACTAATTGAGAGAACATTACGCAATCAAGTACTAAGAATGTCGTTTGATAGATTTTCATAGATGTAAGAACTTAAATTATTTCATTGATTTTATTGAAGTTTATAAATCTTTCAGTTCCCTGATTTCACATTTATTTATTACATTTCTGCTAAACAGACAACAAATGGAAGCAGCCGAGGCCAACATCGGCATATCGTTTTCACAGGCCATAGTCATTTACAAAACAAATTACTGAGCAATACTTTATAAAGGGGTAGACGAAACATTCATTGGTTCTGTATAACTACATCACAAACAGCAACATTGCCAGATCGTCAAAGAAAAACAGTCACATGACAATAAAAATGGCCTCTGATGTCATATTGAAAGTGATGGCATTGCCTAGCTTGCAGCAGGCTAAACATACAGTAGACTATAGATAAGTTAAAGTGGAACCATAATGGATAGAGAATCAAGTACTCTATCCATTATGGTACATGGTGGTCTGTCGCAAAAATTTATAAGACTCCACCATTTTTATCAAGACACTAACTGCAATACTGCAAAAAGATGTGAACAATACAATCTACATCATAAGACACCAAGCAATTGCTAAAAATCTTCATCATCTTGATAAGACCTCTGTCATTCTTCAGGTTTGTCTGTACACCACATTCAAGTTTCTAATCGTTGTTGACAATTCATATTATGCCTACGATGTCTGAGGTGATATCTAGAAAGAAATGCACTAAAATTACACACAGAGGTCATCTGAATGTAACTGAAATTCCTGTTCTAGTGTTAACTGCAACAATTCAAAGCTTAAGACATTTGGAAACTTGAATAATTAACTCCATGGTGAGTGAGATACTCTTAACAAAGTTCTTTGCTGTTCAAACCAAAAATACACAATTTGCTAAGTCTACAAAATTGATAATGGAGTGCAAAGCATGAATGAGACTTATGAACAAGAAGTTGACTTGCATCAGACTATAAATCAGGAATTTTTGTACATAAAGCCCAAGAAACCATTACTTACACAGAAAATGTAGGCAAAATTGGCATAAGCTGAACATCACAATTTGACAATGGAATAATGACAGCATGTCGTATTTTCATACGAAAACCATTTGCAGTAAATCACTTGGAACTAGTTGTATGTTGAAAAGTGGATAAAGGCTATTAGTCAAAGCATCGCATGGTCCAAAAGGTGTGCTCCTTCACTAATAACTTGGTTTTCATCACCTTCAATGGCATTGAAAGGTTTTATTTTATGGTTGGAACAACAAATTTGAGCCAATATGACACTGTCATTAGACATTATGTCACTGATACAGCCAGAGATCCATTTGGGTTGGATCAATTTATTTTCCAACAAGATTTGGCACCTTGCCATACACCTACACAGGTAAGTGCACATTTTTGGTTTTAACATTGTTTAATATTTTTAAAGCATCAAACAAATACTCAAAAATTTGCTCTTCTGGATGCAAAGGTGTCTTCTTGGAACTGGAAATAAAAGTGCTGGATTGGACTGGAAATTCACCAGATTGCAACCAATTGAAAATATGTAGTATCTCACGGCTCTTGAATTTAAAAAAAAAAAAAATGGCCTTCAACAGAATGGAATCTGAAAGAAGTGATTGTGTATACCATAACATTAGTCACAATGTTATTCAAAGCCTGACTGACAGCATGATGGACTGTTTGTAAGGAATCAAAGTCCAATCGTTATTTTGTGTTTTGGGCATTATTTTTAATTATTATTTTTCTTTTTTGGGGAGGTTTTATTGTGTTTTAAGGACAGAAACACCCTAAACCCCAAAAACTCAATTCAAAATTAAATGAACATTCAATAATGTACGGGACTGATCCTGTAACTCTAAAACTTATGTAAATAGAATAGTGTGGCATCACGCTTTTTGTATCATCATAAACTGCCAGATGAAAGACAACATGCCAATTCAACAGTGAAATGTAGCTCCTGAAAGTGAACTTTGAGAGTACAAGTCTCAAAGTGGCGATCTACGTTTGAACAGAGAATCATCTGGCAGTCCTTTATGGATGACTATTAAGTGCTTAACTTATAAGAGAGGTTGTATAGTAGATTTTTTAAAATTAGATTTAGTCGATCTTGGTGGAGATTAGATTAAGTTAGTTGTAAGTCCCAAGTTGGAAACCCTCCTTTTTTTAATTGATTGTTTTTCTTATACATAATTGATTTTACTTGGTGTTTGAATAATTGAAATATATATACATGTGTTATGTTACTACTAACTTCTTGTTTATAATTATTCTTGTTGTTATTTTATATATTACAGTTTGACTTAATAAATATTATTGTTGATTTGTGCTTAAATAAGTGTCATTTAAAATTTTTTTTTGTATCTTTTTTCTTTTCTCTTTCTGTTAAGTCACAGGAATTACACTTACGTGACCCAAGTCCAGGCCTAATATCTGATAGAATGCTAATTTTGTGTAACACTGCTTTTTTGGACTTAATTTTTCATGAATATTTTGTGTAAATCCCTTTCAGTTATTAACTCTTCTTCAGTCATATCCTCAAAATAGTCTTCTACATCTTCAAGCACAGTATTGTACACAGGTGATCAAAAAGTTGTCCTGCCAACTTAAAACTAAGTTTTAAAAAAAACACCCATTGTTAACAAAAACATTATTATTAATAGAATAAAATGTTTTCATTGCAAAACAAAATGCCCTATTGGACATGATTAACACAGGTGTTCAAAATGTCTCTGTTTTCATGAATACAAGCACAAACTTTCTCAGATTTAAGGTAAGACAATATGGATGTAACTGTAGTTTCTCTCATAGCTTTCTGCATCCTACCATAAGATAATCCATCTGAATGGAAAGTTTCCATAAACTTTTGATTGGAAAAAGCATCATTTTGTCCACACATCTATTTTATCATCATTTAACATTGTCATTCACTGCACTTTTTGTCAAAGAAAGACAATTCCTACTTCCCAAAAATGTTTTACGAGATATGAGAGTTCTCTTATTAGGTGGTGAAACACTTGAACATTTCTCATAAAATGCTCCCAATACCTTTGCATATTACCGATGAGCAATATGTTACTTATGTAAGCCTGTTTGGCTTTGGGAAAATGGTATACAGTACTCTTAC